ACAACTTGATGGATTTTTATCATTAGAGGGTAGCCATCCCAACCAATCACAAGGTTGCAATTGTTACCAACCTCACGCTAATCGTACCGAGTTGCATTGACTCTTTATTTGTTTTCAGGAGTTAGTGAGAATAATATGTGTAGAATTTCAACCCTTTGTTTGTTTCTGGAAGTCAGTGTTGCAAAATGTGTAGAAATATGTAACCTTTTGCCCATTGCTAGAGGCTAAGTGAGATAGCAAATCTGACCCTTTGTCTATTGTTAGGAGCTATTTAGTTGTCATAGAATTAGCTCGTTGTCCATTAATGGGAACCAGTGGCAAAAATATGTAGAAGTAGATGTTTAGCTCTTTGTCGATCATTGAAATCTATGTACATGTGAATCAGCTCATTGTCCTTTGATGAGAGCCATGTACTTATAACAAGATAGGCTCTTTATCCATTACTAAGAGCTAATTGTAGCAGTAAACATAGCAATAGAGATCATGGCCATCAAGAAATGCCCAACCATGTTGTAGGATAAATATAACCGTGTCTGATCATGTATATGGTATATGATAATGGTATTCAAGTAGATCATGTCTGCAATATTTCTAGTGAAATAAATGAACGTCGCTTTCAGCAATGTTGCTCTGTTGTAGTCATCAGCAGAAAATAAAACATAACAAATTTGATGTGGAAATAGATTGTATGGGTCCTTCCTAATCACAAGTCCAAAATCAATCTTGCTGATGTGGCACTACACATGTTGTGAATTCCAAAATAGTACAAATTCATCCATCAACAACTTATTATATATAAAGTTTTTTTAAAAAAAGCCTAAAACTCTAAATTTAATTAATTTACAAAACTATTTAATTTAATTTTTAAATTTTTAAATTTTTAAAAATCAAAACTAAAAATTCAAAACAACAATTATACTAGACAAAACCTTGTTTGTCAAGTTTTCTTAGACTGCGCCAGGGATCATTAATTCATGCGTAATAGAGTTGTATCTACCAATAAAACTTAATATTGTGGGCCAAGGTGCCATCTTTTTATATTACATGGATATTATTTTTACTTAAATAAAAAAATCTTGAAATTAAAATCCGTTAAATCCTTTATCTTTCCGACCTTTTTTTTTTTTTTTTTAAGAAAGCCAGGAATTAACTCTATTAAATCCTTTATAGTGTGTTTAGTTTGATGGTACAATGATTTTTTATTGTTGAGTCAACAAACTAATTTGGTACTCAAGAATACAACGCAAACCACACCTACTAGAGTGAAAATCCCATAAAATATGCATGTCGCTGGAAAATTATGGGTTTCTATATGAGGGGACCATAACAGGTAATGGAATTCTATTCTACGTATATCAGAACTTGAATTTGGTTAGAATTGTAGATTAGGTGATGGATAGAGAATATTTGGAGGGTAAATGGGCAATACATAAATAACCATAAAATCTCCACACTCCATTTGAATGGTGGCACATGATATTCTCATCAAAACAGAAAAAGGGAAATCTTCATAGCTTTGGTTTATCTGCTGGTTTAGTCATTGCATGTTTTTAGGCCTATTCAGTTACCTCCTAACCGAGAGGCATTTCTGGGGAAGCTTTCACTTTTTTTTAGCAGCTTGAATAAAGAAATGAAACTTTTTGGGCACAAAAGTTGAGCTGATATATGGTTTATTATATAAAAAAATATTTTGAAAAGTAATCAATCATAAACATATATAATGCATTATCATCAAGGAAAATCTTTCTTAACTCAAAGACCACGGGGAGGGCTGTTTCATTAGCCACTTCTCCAGATAAAGAATCTGGGAAAGACTACCAATAATTGTATTAGCTTAACTTAGAAAGGTAGTTTTTTTAATACAAAAATTGAGATTTAATATAATTAACTATAATAGAAATATAATTAATTACATTACAACATTTTTAAACAACCTTTTTTTATGGAATATCTTGTTTGGAAAGTGAGGTAATGAATTATAAAAGAAAAATAACCGACTATTATAATTGATTATATTATTATAATCACTTGTAAAACTCTTTGTAATTAATTATATGTCAATTTAATTAATTATATTTATATTATAATCAATTATATTGGATCTCAATTTTCATGTTAAAAAAATTACTTTTGTAAGTCAAGCTAATGTAATTTTTGGTCAACTTCCCTAAATAGCCGAGAAGTGACTAACCAAACAGGCCTAAAAAGTTTCATTGTGGGATGTGTAATTGATTTTTCTTTTTCATTTAGTTGATTATTTTGCCTTTAAAACATTACAATCAATTACAAAAGAATATAATCAATTATACTTTGTCATTGATTTTTGTGCCTAAAAATTTATTTTCCTAAGCCAGAACCAAGTTATTGCTGTTTATGACTTCCCTGAAAATACCTTCTAGGCAAGGTAATCTAGCATTTAGACGTTTTAGCATAATGTCAAGCTATGGCGAATTCTATTGAGTTGTTTCACTAGTTGCATTAGAAGCATAAAACCTTTTGGAAGGCACTACATAATAAATTTGATACTGGATCGAAAAGGAACAAACCAGTTTCTAAATATTATATATCTTTCGCGGCTTTATTACTGTTAACTTGCATTACAGCTTCGATTGGAATTTTGAACATGTGATTACATCGAAAATTTGGGAGCACTAAACTCTTGCAATCGTCTCAAAACTGCGAAAGCTAAGCCTAATATTTTTAATTAATTATATGCCTAATAAATAAAGGAACAAATTCTCTATAAGTGAATCTAGATGCATCTAGGGAAAGAGTTGGCAAATACAAGTGATGGCTCTCTTTGTGTCCATTTACCATATGTTTTCTATATTTTTCACTGATATCCCTTTTCCAGCTACCTTCTAGCTAGAAGTTGTGATGAGAGGAGGTTATGGAGAGAATGTTTAGACCAATTTCTCAAAAGAAACACAAAAGGTTGAAATGATGGAGATAGCTTAGAGATGAAAGAGTTCGAAAGAAACAAAAGAAGCATGTGACCAACTTCCTACTACTATTCTCTAGTGTTCATCTTTCCCCAAATAGTGACCAGGTTTAGTTCCACCATATTAGTGGTTGTCAAATTAACTGATATATATGGAATTTGTATTCTTCCTTCCAAACACCATTCCTGCACTATGTCAATTGAACTTCCATAGGGAAGCTCGCCTATTTATAGCAAACAATCTATGTGCATTAGCAATTTGGCATTAGCATAAATAGATATAGAGAGAAATCAATGGAGGGTCTGTCCCCTGTAGTTCCCCTCGTCACTTCACTGGGACTCATTGATTCTAGGTTCAATTGAAGTGGTTGGCAAGACTCTTTTATGCCCACCAACAGAGGTTTATAAATACCAACATAGAGATATGTTACTTGTTAAACTAGTTTACTCTTACTTTACTTGTTATCTTGCTAGTGGGATTATACACTAATAATCTTATGCCCACTAATAGGAGGTTTAATAAATGCAAACTATGAGGATGCTAATTGACACATTATTTTTTATTTGAAAGAAAAAACATATTTTTATTAAATTTAGAGTAAAAGAGGTACTCTAACCCACCATATATAGCAATTGGTTCAAATAAATTGATGCCCAAACAAGAGCCTCTATTTTCTTATAGCAATTCCCAATCATACCTTGTAGATTATTCACCCATTCAAAATTTAAGCTGCCTACCCTTATCCTATTGGACTTGTCTTGATTGTAAACACCAATCCATAAAAGAGGTATACTTAAACCCATTCCATCTTTTGCACCAAAGATATGCTCTAGTCTAGACTAAATCAAATAATCTATCCTTGTTGATTGCTCGGTTTCTAAAAACATGCTCATTCCAACATAACCAAATTGACCACATTACTACAAACCACACCACCCTCTAGCAGTCCTTGACAATTTTTGGCCCCTAACCCAATCATGTTGTAGATACATGTCCTTGCAATCATTACTTAATACAAAACTTAATCCTCACCATCTAAAACACTTTTGCCATAAATTATAAGCTATCTCACAAGAAATAAACAAGTGATTTTCCTCTTGTTTTTTGCCACAAAACTATTATCATACATAGTTTCACTAGTTATCCCATAAATGATCCTTCTTTCCTACGAATGAGGTTCTTTGTTCAACATTTTATTGATTAGCATCAAGTTTTTTAAGTTCAATTGGTCTAGTTATTAGAAAATCAAACTTAAGGTTACGAGCAAAATAATCAAAATTTCTCAAAAACAATTAAAGAATCACCATTAATATGTAAAACTCAATATTCAAAATCTTTTTTTTTTTTTTGAAAGATATAATGAAACACTGTACTGCAAATTTGCAACAAATCTAGGCAGCAACAATCTTTAATAGAGCTCTTATAACTTACAAGTTTAATGAAACCCAACAAAACAAACTTAAGGAAAACAAGGTAACAACTGTAAAATTAAAATAGTTAATGGCAGGATGGCCCCCCTCTCACAAATGCTACAGTGATTCCCCTCCCCTTTCACAATATTTTTTTTTCTTCCAATTTTGCCCTTCAGTGTTTCTCCCTCCTTTTAGGAATGGCTTTTTGGTCGTTTTGCTACCAAATAATTCGTCCATTTGTTCATAGTCTGTTTTCTTTTTTCGCCCTCGTG